TCAACCTTTCGGACCAGCATGCGTACCGTCGCACTGGCAATGCCCATGAAAGCATCAGCCTGGCTCTGTAGATCGACCTTTTCTCGAAACTCTTCATCTATACGGCCTTTTATTTTCTCTTCCAGCTGGTTGCAAGTGACGTAGCAGTAGTCCGCAGTGTTGAGGATGAGAACAGCATCTTCAATAGACGGTCCCTGGGCACCCGACTTCTCACTGAGGAAATAGTAGAGTACCTTTTGCCCGTACTGGTCCAGGTATTTGGCAAAAGTGGCAGACAACTCCTGCAGCCTTGTTCCAGTGGAGAGTTTAGCACACTGTGCCAGAGTCATTCGGTAGAAATGGAACAACTCGGTCGATGACGGTATGACTGCCTGAGGTGAGAACTCCTCTTCGGAATTCCGCAAAGGCTGCTGTCGATACTTGGGTATCAAGACTGCGAGTTGTCTGAATTGTTAGAAATATACTTTTAAGCCATTGATACCGCACATACTTGTCTTGAGACTCTACCCAGAGGCTCATGTAAGGCTCAAAAGCCTCAGAGATGGCTTGGCTGAAGCCATGCGGTCGTTCTTCCTTGGAAGCCATGGTGTCCACGGAAGAACGAGACTGTGCGATATCAGTATACGTGACTCGACTTTGTACACTTCAGACAAACCTCGTTAGAGAACCGCCGTTCCAAGCCTTGTTCGAAATCAAGCGTTTCCTGGAGACACGAAAGAAGGAGTGTGACGTCCAGACTTTGAGCGTCGCCTCTTCGCACTGATTTTTGCAGTATGGACTTGAAATCTTCACGGGTCCCTTCACAAAACGAGTTGGCCAGCATCTCGTTTACGCGCCAATAGGCTGGGAAGATGGAGGCATGCTCGACATCATAAGTCTTCATCATTCGATTAAACCAACTGTATCGCCGTCCGATGTTATCCAAGGAGCCAGCTTCGTCATTACCGCGGAAGACCTGCCGGTACTCGCGAAGCTGCGTATTGCAGTACCAGTTGATAAGCCGTGTCCGCGCATGCTCACCGAGCGCATCGATGACGAGGCAAGCTTCTGCCAACATGGCCTTTCGCTGAGCCGTTTCCCCCTTGGCGAATGTCACCTCAAAATCTTCGCAGACCTGCTCCAGCAACTCGCCCTGCACGTCCGCCACATTGCGACTCAGGGTAGCAATCTGGTCTATTGAACGGTAACTCTTGAAGTGGGCCACGAGTTGTAGAACTGCCTGTAGCAGCTGGGCGCACTCTCTATACTGCCGTGACTTGCTCAGACTACGCAGTTGCTCGTATGCCGTCGTCAACATCTGCAGCCGCTTCAAGGCCGTCATGGAGAGGGTCAAGTTCTTCTTTGTACTATCCAAGCGTTTTATGTCCGCAGTCATCTCGGTGATGGTCTGCTCTGTCTGCATGGCCCGCTCCCTGACGCTCTCGATCCTCTTGAAGAGGTCGGCCAGCTCAGCCTTTGCCGACTGTATGCGGTGCACGCTGTCTGCATCTGAGCTGGACTGCGACGCGATAACGGCTGCGATATCCTCGTCAAGATCATCTTGGTAGCTGCGAAGGGCTTCCGACGTGGCCGAGACGGAGGCGAGCGTGGCGGGGTGGGAGAAGATGGCGTTGAGATGGTCGATGGGATCGTATTCAGCTGCATTGAGCGTCAGCGCCGAATCCATGATTCCGGACACTACAGGCTGGCGTGCGTACTAGATTCCAGAGAAGGAGAAAGGCCAGGCATATGGTTCGGTCGGAGTCCGCATCAATGCCCCCTCGCGATCTGCTGTTGCACACGTTGCGCCAGGGAGTGTACGACCAGTCGGAAGAGGGTAAGACAAAAACCAGCCTCTTTTGTTCCTTTTTTTACTCTATCTTTTGCTTATCGTTCTTCGCTACGCATAGAATAGGATGCGTGCATTGTAGCAGTCGGAATGTTATTGGGCGATTGCGGAAGGTGGTGTAGCTGCACAAGCCACTACGTACATCCGTGCTTCAGCGCATCCTCAATTCAGGGTCTCAAGCCTCACCTTCGTCGCGAGGCTCTTAACAATTCATCCTTCTCGCCAGCGAAACCGATCATCAAATACCGCACATTACGCGTGGCTTACTATACTATTCAACGTTTGAAACAGCATTAAGTCGGATATATATATATATATATATTCAACTACAAGTGCACTCTGATGTACATCCCTATTTGGGCAAGGGATACAGAGGCACATAGAAGTAGAGGCGACAGTGACCACATGAAAGATGAACTCAGACACAACAGGCCTTCCAACAAATTGTATGCCAAAAGATAGCGTGCAAGATCCGTTTGAAGGCCGGGGTGCCTATGCGGTTCCTTGCTCACCGCCGCAGCTCTTCCGCCATCTCGGTCTGCTACTGTGTTTGAATGTGTCGCGCGTGTACCAAGCATGATGTTGACTGAAATCGCATAGAGTTTGCGTTAAAAGAATCGTTGAAATGAGAGAATGACTATATTGTGTTTAGAAATTTGAAAATTATAGGTCCCTAGTACAAGTTCAGCTGTGGTAGCTCGGCCTGAATGATGATGATAATTGAGTATATCGTACGGGCGCCTACCTAGGCCCGGCAATAGCTAGAGCTAGATGTGTGGACGATGCGAGAATCTAGGATAGACGGTGATCAACTTGGCTGCCCGTTCTTGATAAAGCGACTGTGAACGATTGAGCCATCGCCTCTCTTGCAACCATCTCAGCTTTATACCAGAGTACCCCCGCTTCTGTTGCGGTCCCTATACTCTCTACTCCGTTGACCAGATAATAATTTTGGGTGCTGAAGATTGTGCCTATAATGACAATATTGAAGCGCACAATCTGGATGCTGGATGCCCAAAAGATCGGCCCAGTATGACAGCACAACGTTCCGCTTGTGAAAGTGGTATATGTGACTTCGGGCTCATTGTGGCATCTTTTTAGGTCATTTCCATCTCCGATCGAATTGTGTACGTATTCTCTCATGCGTGCATTTGGATCCCGATGGTTCGTAATAGGTGTCTACGATTTTACAGAAAGACTTTCGTCGTCCGTATAAATCGAGGCCTCAGCCTTTTCGCCGTTTGCACTGCGCCGCTACAACGCTGATGTCGTCGAGTTTACCTGTATCAGTTTAAGCAAGAGAAACCCCACAGTAGGTATAGAGTCTCTCAGAGTACCAACCTCCTTCGATAGATAGACCCTCATCGATCGCCTTCTCCATGTATGGACTCTCAGCAAAAGGATCTAGAGCAATCTCCCTCGCTGCGTTAACGAGTTGCTGAGCCACAAACTGCATACCATCCGCGTATGTCTGCTCTTCTGTATCTTTGTCTTTGTCACCACTCCATCTCACCATACTGTTGCAGACATTTTCTACAATTTCATGTTCCCAGAGATTATCCACCACGCCGTCTGTCATGGCAATTACTACGTCGTCTTCCTGGATCTCTACACGATCCACCATCGCATTCTCGCTCGGCGTGTCAGGACTGTTCGTCCCTATTTGCCGCGGACAATCAAACCAATGCCATTGTTCTTGTGTCCTGAACACGACTTCCCTCGTGCTCGGGCGTATGACGAGGATCTGGGAGTCGCCGAGCTGCGTTACGTAGAGGACTGGGTGATTGGGTTCTTCATTATCGGCGCTAAGAAGCGCGCCGCACGTGGTAGTTGTGCCATACCACGCGCTGGGTTTCGAGGTTGCTTGTTGGGTAAGCTTGTAGGCATTCTGCAGGTAGGTGACAGGCTCTGGAGGAGTCGTAGCGTTGTAGGTTGCAGTTTCGACTTCGAGGGCCCAGAAATGAGCGATTAGACGAGACCAGAGGCTACGCGTGTCTTGTGTTAGCAATGATCTAGTGGTTTCTACATGGACGGATGGGAGTGCTTTGGTTGACTAACGCTGCATGCCCTCTCTCCCTAGTAGCCCATGCTCCTACGCCGTCATTTGCGGCAATGAAACTCTCGCTGACTAGCACGGCATCATCGCCATTTGTAACTCCTCTAATCATCTGTCCGTTGACTGTTGGCCGCCGGTCTCTACTCTTGTTGTACGTGCTGAGCGGCTCCGAGAAGCTCGTAGAGGGCATAGAGAGGAACGGCGGAGGAAACGGTCTCGAGGGTCTCTTCGCAAACAGCGCATATCCAGCTTCAAAGTAAAAGGGCGGCTTGGACTTTGGCGGGTCAGCGTTGGGGGGAACGGGCGTGGTCGTTCCACCGCCTATTTGCGCCTTCGGTACATCTTCCGAATACCATCTCGAGTGCCTCTTGAAGTTTATTGTCACGGACAAGATGCGCGTTCGTTGTGGTGCAGATTGCTGTATTGTGGTTCTCCAGGCTTGTGATAGTGGATGCTGGAGGTGGGGTTTATTGCGAACGCGAAAGGCAGGTGCGAGCATGCCAGCGGCTACCCTGTCTACAAGAAGAGGGCGAAGTTGGTTGATTCAGGGACTTTATTTCTAACCCCGTGGTGAACTGGGGCCAAAGCTACATAAAGAACCGCTGTTCTCCAAGGTTACGGTATGCGGGGAACCCGAGAGTGTGGTTTGCGCATAACAAGCGGTGGATCGGGGTTGAGATTAGGGTGCGAACATGAGTCAGCACATTTAAGGCGTTTGGTCTCTTCATGACGTCTTGGGGAGACTGGATCTGGTGGTGGTTGCCAATTTGCAGCCTCGTCATTAAATTATGGTTATCAACTGTAGACTTGGCCATACTGGATGGTCATTTCCTGGAACCATCGAGCGGCAAATGTCCATGTCTCACCAGGACCGCATGCTAGCGCAATGGAGATCAACTAAGTATGTCCCGATTTGACCTGCGGGCTGACATTTTTACGACTGTAGGTGGAAAGGCTTAGGAATTTCCATGGATTACTGGGCGACACACACCGGATCATTCCTCTCTTTGCACTGATGATCATTGGTATCCCAAGTCAACGCCAGCCTATGCACCACCCACCCCGACCTGTCCGTGTAATTCGTTCTCCCATTCCCGAGGAAATCATGGCGGTCCTTTATGCCCTCCTCTTCGCAAAGTTCTCCAGGTCCGCCCTTGTGGCCACCCCGAGTACAAACTTCCTGCTTGCATCTGTCACCACCGCAAACTCCTGCTTTCCGCTGCCGTCTACCCCACCATTGAAGAACTCTTCAAGCTCTTCGAGTGGTGTCTCTGTCGTGATGACCTTATACCTCCTGCCGCGGCGCTGGAACTTGTGCATGGCCTCCTCAACAGGGTCGCTGTCCTTGACTTTGCCTTCTTTGAGAAGTTGCTGGAGATGCGGGATGCTAATGTATCCAAGCAATGCGCGATTTGTCTCGGCAATGACAGTGAGGTGTGTGTAGTCGCGCTCAAGGCCGGACATGAGTGCCCATGAGATTGGGTCGGTAGGCTTGACGGAGAGGGCGGGCGGGGGATCGAGGTCTTCTACTGTGGCCTACCAGCTGTCAGTCAGGCATAGAGCAACGTCCGCTGCACCACCATACGCCTCGGTATTTGTTCGCCCATAGTGCCTGATAGTCGCCATTTGGTGCGTCGCTCGCGGTGCTGGGTTCCGCTGCCATAGTGCTCGCTGGGTAGGACGTGAATATGGTGGGGATGCTTATTGCGCAACTTTGTGCCCAGATTGAGAGCCGCAAATGCTCGGGCCTGCAATTACATCACGCTAAGCATGCGAAAGCGGGCTTTAGCGGGTAAGGCTTTTGCAATGTTTGGAGCGTGTGACAAAAGTCCCAGGTGGCTGTGAAGACCCAGCACAAGCCTGCGGTTGCAGCCCTCGAGATTACTAGAATGCACGCCTCAGCCTTGAATTGAACCGCGCTTTCCATATTGTGCTTTATTTTGCTTCCTGTAAATGTGCCTTGCAATTGCGCACAGCTATATCTACGCTGTACATATATTCCACGTAGCTCTGCTTGTGCCAGTGTTTGGTTTTGCAGTTGATGCCACACGTGATGAGCACTAGCGATAACTGCAGGTCACTCGCTCGTGAGAGCCGCCCACTTCTAACACCATCAACGCCCTCAACCCTGCCAGCGAAGGAACATCTCGTGTCCCTGTTGCACAGTATCCAAGTGGCTAGCCCCTGTGCTGGCGTCAGATTGATCCCGATGCCAGGACAGCACGATGGCTCCCCCGACGCACCGCTACCCCTCGCTCGATCGCTCCTATAAATCGCCCCGACCGACGGCAATTATGTGAAATGTGTGTCTGGATACATGCACTGCAAGTGCGCGCAGCTGGGCATACTGAGCTTCTAGGGTGTACAGACATTTACGGTGGCTCTCAAAGTCGTTGTTAGCCGCCGGCATAGGAAGCAGCAGCAGCTCTGAACATACTCTATGAGCCATACAACGGCTGGGGAGCGCAACAATACTCATCTCACTGCGCCATAGCTTAGTTATGGAAGCTGGTGACCAGGATGTATTTCGCATTCGTACGAGTAGCTTGCGGTCGCCCATCTCAATATACCAGTGCACTCGACAGGAAGCCCGGCTGTTTAAATAGCTAGCATGACGACAGATCGTCGCGGACCGACTAATTGAAAGCGGAAGCCCAAGGCAAGCCCAAGTACCTCCGTCGTCTGCTGTACCAGAAAGATGACTACTGGCTTATCGATAGCCAACATTGGAACGGAAATACCCAGCTCCCCGGATCGCAATAATCTGGGGCAGTTGTTTAGCCAAGATCTGCTTATGCAGAGGTAAAGAGACAATCCCGACTCAAGTTCCGATCTGGAGATGGTTGTCCTGTTCGCAGTGTGGCTCATACAGCTAATCTGTCCGGACCACGAGGTCTCTACACAACTACTGGGTTACGACTAAACTCGGATGCCCTAACTGAGTGAAACCTCTCTGTCGGATACTGATTACATATTCCAGCATATCCGCAATAACCCACCTTGACATCTGCTCCTCCATAAGACGAATTGGCTCTAAGAAGCCTATAATACTCGGGTTGTACTCTCCAAAACCCATCAGGGGAATAACCGTTGGTAATCCTCCCTATTTGTGACGCCGTTAGCCGATCCTTTAATATCGTCACTTTCAGCATGATGGAAACAAGACCCTGGGAAGAGATGGAGTCAGGCAAGTCTGAAGATGTTAATAGGGTAACCAGAGCATACAACACCACACTTCCTGACACAAGTTTTTGTCCTATCGTAAGCTATGCGGAAGTGAACCACTCAGCATGCGGATCATGTAGGCATTGCTTGAAAAACCACAGGTTCGATGGACGCCTATAGTTCACTGAGGGCTGAGAATCAAATATTGATGGATCGCTGAAAACTGGAATCGCGCCATCCTGTCTCATCCCTGCGGCCAATGCATCAGCTGCAGTCAGTCTTGGTACAGGTTTGCGCAAGGTTTTGGGTATTTCCTCTCGCGACCCTGTGTTCCATCAGTCTCTTCAGTGTATGGTAAAAGGCTGTGTACTTGAGGTACGGGCCTCGACAGAGGTAAGTAGGCGAAAATGTGTCCGTGTAGAAAACAGACATACAGGAAACACCACAAGAGCGAGATACGAATACAGTGAGTGATTGCTCATCCCCCAGGATAGACGTGTGTTCGAGCTAACGAAGGCTGAAGTGTAGTCGAAATGCAAATCATCCCTGACAAGCCTACCAAGAGCAAGTCTAAGACCCCGCAGCTCAGCGTTCCAATGTGTTGCACCCATTCTGACCGTCCTACGATGATGAACATCAGTCAGAACATCATAATCCACTAACAACAAGTGTACAGATTGTGTAATATGAGAAAGAGCTAGGGAGAATAATCCAGAAGAGTATCGGTTCTTCCAACGACGTGCGCGTTCACCTGGAGGCTTCTTACGACAAGTTGCAGGTGCATGCCAGGTGAAGCCAATCGACCATCCATTGCGCCTTAACAAGAGTCAAAGGAAACCGCAAAAAGAGCTGTGTCGTTAGAGGAGACTCTTCATGTAGGGATCGTCTGCAAGCCCCTTGCGTTGAGTTCGTGACTGTGGGTTGGCTGGCTGAAAAGGCGCAGCAGCTTCGTACTCCAGCACGGACCTAAGTCATCGCATCCCGCCAAACCTTGGAAGGCGGCGATAGCAGCAGTAGCCAACACCCACAACACAGCAAACACTCCACACGCTTGCTGCAACATCGCTAGAAGGTGGTCGGTACATCTTTGGGTGGCAGTGAATCACCTCGAAATTTTTCCCGGCCGGTAACACGCCCGTTGCAGGCAGACCGACCAACGTCACGTGCTGCGCCTGGCGTCGCTGGAAAGTTGAAGAGTTGCGTCTCCGATCTCTTCTCTCTCGCCCTCCCCACATCACCACAAAACAACCCAGCCACCTCACCCACCGCGCATCATCAATCCGCGCTGTCAACCATCAACCACGCGGTCTTGCTGTCGCATTCATCCCCTCAACGTCCTAAATCGCGACCTTGCGCATCACTTACGCGTCAACTCAACATCACACAAACGTGAGCGTGACTCGCACAATGGCGGAGGAGGCGAAATCACCTGTTCCTGTGGACGCCACGAACACCACAGAGGAGGCGACGCGCTCTACGGATGGTGTTGCTCAGCCTGCCGTTGCAGAGGCAAACCCGGCTGATGACGGCGTCGTAGCTACCTCTGGCGTTGCTGAAGGTAAGAGACCGTCTTTTGTAAGTCGGCGAAGGGGATGCTGACATGATTGCCTATCAGTGCCTGAAAACAAAGACACTCAAGAAGATGTTGCTAGCAAAGATGATGTCACCACTGACGCGCAGGCAGCGCCTGTCGCTGCAAGCGATGATGCAGGTGAGTAGACAGCCCAAACAACTGGAGGCAGGACGGACGGGCCCTACTATTTACGCTCATGTACTGACATGTTCTCGTAGCTGCCGCACCTGCCTCCGACGCGCCAGCGACCAATGGTACCCCGGCTCCCAAAAAGGCTCGCAAGTCAGGCGCTGGCATTCCCGAACACAAGAAGAAAACACCAGCTAAGAAGGCAAAGAAGGCCCCTGAGCTTCGCCTGAATGTGTCGCCGGGAGACATGCACATGGTTGCTATGCGTGGGTACCAACCATGGCCGGTCATTGTATGTGACGAGGAAATGCTCCCCGAGTCACTTCTCAGCAAGCGTCCTGTCAGTGCTAGGCGTATTGATGGCACATACCGAGAAGACTTTCTTGAGGGTGGCAAAAACGCCAAAGATAGGCGGTACCCTATAATGTTTTTGGGTACAAATGAGTTGTGAGTAACTAACGATCTACGCTTCTCAATGATAGCTGCTGACCAAAGTTGGTAGCGCGTGGCAAGTCAACACTGATCTGTTGCCATTCGATCTCGAGGAAGTGAAGAAGGACGTGGAGACTGGCAACCAAGGGAAGAGGAATAAAGCTCTTTGGGAAGCATATCAAATTGCTGCTGAGGGCCACGACCTAGCGTATTTCAAAGAGATGCTCTCTGCCCATGAATCTGCGATGCAAGAAGACCTTGAACAGAAAGAGCAGAAGGAGCAGCAGAAGAAGGAGAAGGCTGAGAAGGCCTCTAGGCGCAAGAGCACAGTAGCCGCAACATCAGAAACTGCTGACGCGGAGGATACTGGTGATGCTGCTGCTTCAGTCAAGAAGAGTAAGATAGCAAAGAGGCGCAAGAACGACAGCGACAGTGATGGCGAGAGCGGAAAGGTGTGCATTACATCCATGAATCGATTTGTAACTACTAACTTAGCGACAGTTCGCAAAGACCCTTAAGACCAAGCTCAAGCTGACGACAAAGACACCAAAAGAGCCATCTGCTGCGAAGACGAAGAAGGAGCCCAAGTCAAAGAAGAAAGCCAGCGAGGAGGCTGAGCCTGCAGTACCCGAAGAACCAGCCATGACTGAAGAAGAGTGGTTACAGAAGCGCGAGAAGCAAGTTCTCTACCTCCGACACCGCCTGCAAAAGGGCTTTTTGTCCCGCGACCAGGCACCCAAAGATGAAGATATGACAAGCATGTCTGAGTACATGAAGCAGCTTGAAGCTCATGCGGATCTTGAGGCTGAAGTTATCAAGAAGACCAAGGTACACAAGGTTCTTCGGGCTATCATCAAGCTTGAATCTATTCCAATGGAGGAGGAATTCGCTTTCAAGAAGCGTTCGACCGAACTCCTTACCAAATGGAATAGTGTATTAGCATCCGAGACGGAGGCGGCTGGTGCGAACGGTGTCAAGAACGAAGAACGTGAGAAGTCCGAATCTGCAGAGAAGACTGCGGAAAAGAGCAACGAGGACACGGCAGCGAAAAAGGATGATGCCGCTCCAGAGACTGCTTCGAAGACAACCGATGCGGAAGGCGACATCGTTATGGCAGAAGCAGACAAAGAAGACAGCCAAGAGGTATCTGCGCCTCAAGTTGAGGCGAAGACCAGCGAAGAAGCAACCGACAAAACTCCTGCTGAAGATAAGATTGACGGGGTTGCCGGGACTACAGACGCTATCACTGCCTAAATCATCATCAGGCTACGTGGTCAACAAGGGGAATTCAAATATTCCTTCTTCCATTTCTGCGACTGTCAGCCCTCTTAGCAGGACTGCACCCTATGCTTCAGAGCTATTGCGACTTTGTTGGCTTCGTTGAGCGAGTCTAGAACGCCCGCATATTGAGAAATCTCTCTGGCGTACACTAGCTTTCACGGGGTTTGAATGACCCCGCCATTTCTAATATCTATGCCTAAAGTGCTGGGTGGGCATTGCTGTTTATGCTCGATGGGAGATATACGAGCTAATTTCTGCTGCCCATATTTACCTTCCTGGGCGGCTCCTTGCCGAACGATAGCTAGTGGCGTACAAACATGTCTTTGCAAATTGAACAATAAATACCAACACTTTCCAACACCAGCGTGCATGTTCCTTAGTATTTTCATTCGGATACGTAGCTGATTGTGCTGTCCCCGTTGTTCCTCTCTTCTATGTGCCTCGTTTGCGTAGTTGCTAGATGTGGCGCGTCGCGTCAATGCCCCACCATCATTATGACGTCCCTATGCGTTGAGCTCCATAACAAAACCATGCGGAAAGCGTACAACATCGTTCTGACAACCGAATCTGCACAGCCTCCCTCGTGGTCTTTCTACTCGATATTCAAAGCTAATAATTCAAAAACACCCCAAAATGGCCGGCGCATCAAGGAAAGACCTTCTCAAGAAGGTGTACAACATGGTACCGCCTATGCTCGAGAGCTTCCACAAGGGTATGGAGACTTCTCGGGGTTCCAGAATGCGTATCTAACCCATTTGTACAGGTCAATTGGGTCGTGTAGCAGTTATTGGTGGCAGTGAAGATTACACTGGCGCACCCTACTTCTCTGCCATGGCCTCTGCAAAATTGGGTTGCGATATGGTATTATCTCCCAGAAACCCTCGTGCGAGGGAATCTGCTAACACTACTTCAGTCTCATGTCATATGCGAGCCGGGAGCGGGCGCCGTCATCAAAACCTACTCCCCTAATCTCATGGTACACCCATATATGCGGCAATCCAAGAACCTTGCGCAATCCGAGAGCGCCGATAGTGTGAGCGCAGAAGTTGTTGGAATGCTATCGCGGCTCCACGTTGTCGTAATCGGTCCTGGCCTCGGTCGCGACAAACTCATGCAAGACACATGCGCAAAGGTGATTGAAGAGGCTAGGAAGCAGGGCATTCCTTTTGTACTGGATGCAGATGGTCTGTACCTTGCACAGACAAGGCCTGAACTCGTTGAAGGTTGCAAAGAGTGCATCCTCACGCCCAACGTTGTGGAATTTGGGAGATTGGCCAAGGCAAAGGGCGTAAACGTTGATGAAGGCGATCCTTCAGAACTATGCTCCAAACTATCAAAGGCTTTTGGCGGTGTTACGATTATTCAGAAGGGTGCTAAGGACTATATTTCCAATGGTTCGCATACCCTGGTCTCTGAGGGCGAGGGCGGCTTGAAGCGCTCGGGTGGTCAGGGTGATACCTTGACGGGTAGTTTGGCGACTCTGCTAGCCTACAGGAAGGCATACCACGACAAGCTGTGGGATATTGGGACTGAGATGTCAAGGAGCGAGACGTTAGCTCTTGCAGCATATGGTGGCTCGTGTATCACGAGAGAGTGCTCCAAGTTGGCCTTCAAGGAGAAGGGCAGATCGCTGCAGGCCAGTGATTTGACGGAGCATGTTCACACTGCGTTCCTCAACATAATTGGAGAGAGGGAGGAGACACCAATGCTGTAAGGTGATGCTTAAGAGTTCGACTAGGAGGTTCACCCTACTCAGTCAAGGTAAGACCGGGCGATTGTAAGATAAAATACATGATAGCGATAATTATATGTATACATTCCGAAGCGATGACCTGAAGTACATACACTGGAATGAGGATCTGGAAAATAAGAGGAAGAACTGAAGAATGCTTGGAAAGCGAACGGAAATGGGTGAATATCCTAGTGTTCATGATAAAACCCCCATGATTTCTACATTTGATCTATAACTACCAATATTGCAATTACAGGAAAGAAAAAGAACCTCCTTTGGCTTATCATCACGGGCCAGCCTTGATTCATAGAACGAAATGTCTAAGCGAGAGATCCTCCAAGCACCCAGACTTCACCGTTGGCGACCTTGTCGGCGATGCTCTTGATTTCGACGTTGGCGGGTTGGATCTGCAGGATTCGATTAGCTCAGAATCTGGTGGTCCTTGGCAAAGGAAAAAAAAGCATCGGCAAGCAGTCTTCGGTAACACCACGAAGCAAAGTAGTATAGCGTTCATCTGGACGTGACCAAAAGAGAAACAACCTAAGAAAAAAAAGAACCTGGGGTATCTGACTGAAGCCAGACGAATGCTGATGAGAGTGGGACTCGAACCCACGCCACTTTCGTGACCAGGAATATGATGTTAAGAAGACCTTAACCTGGCGCCATAACCAACTCGGCCATCTCACCAATTGTTTTGGTTGTTTGATGGGAATTTTGGAAACTGCATCGAATATGTTCGTGGGCATTTGAGCCGAGACGCGAATGGCCGCCCTGCGGTCCGGTGGGGCAACTCCGAAATGCAATGCAGACTACTGTACTGACGGGCATGGGTATGCTTACCTTCTTTTGGCCGTCCTTGGACTCCCACCAGATCTCGTTGCCGGCAAGTGTCTTGATCTTCTTGCCCTCCTCCCACGGACTTTCGGGTACAATGTGTCGCTGGACGAAGCGTTCGAGGTTGCTCTTCGCGCGGTCTTCTCCGCTGGCGCCCTGGTAGGCTTCGGCGCCTAGTTTGTTGTAGTCTTCTGGGTCTTCCCATGGTTTCCTCTTCAAGTCGCGCATGACGCTGTTGTGGGGAGCAAGTACAGTGGCGTTTTGTGCGGCGTTGTCTAATCGTCCGGCTACGGCGTCGATGTCCCTTGTCAGGCCGCTGAAGATGGCGATCTCCTGTGTGTTTCCGATGACATCGGATATGATGACGCCAGTTGAGACCTGGCCCTCTGGTTTGCCCATGATGTAGTCGCGAAGCGGTGATTGCTCGGTCAGGATGTGGAGCGAGTTGACGATGCTATCGAAGGGACGGGACTCAGCTGAGCAAGCGAAGATCAGAGAGATGGTAGCAAGAGGGTATGCGAAGAAAGATCCGGATTTCATGGTGGCTTAAGCGGGGTGCATTAGGGTGTTGCTGGAGGGTTGTTTGTGAGCGCGGCGGTTGGCGTGGGCAGCACACACGTCATGCCGCGGTGAAGCCAAGACCTCGTGCTCACGCGAATGATCGTCGGCCGTCTTTTCGAGCTCGGGGACTGATTCCTCTTCTCCTTGCACTCATGTCTCGGCCAACGTGAAATCCCGCGCCTTTGAGCGCGTCGCTGTTCGACCCAACTCTCTGAGCAGATAATCGAAAATTATGGCGTTGCAAATTCCAACAGTCACGGTCGTAAGTGTAATTAATGTTCTCGAGCCCCTAAGAAATGTACTCAGAACAGTAGGATGATCTCCTCGCTTTCCACGCACAGCACTTCCCCCACGCGTCAACGCCTGAGCATATTCTCTATGGTGTAAACCACGAGCCAGAAACGGCTGAAGAATATTATGACGAAGAGGACGACGGGCTCGGCTACTACCCCGATGGGACCAAGCGCACCCTGACCGACGAGCAAATTGCCATGTTTCGACACTCAGAAATCCAAGCTATCCTTCGCAAACGGCGGTTGCAGAAAGAGAACGGCGAATCTTCAGACTGCAAATCTACTGCCGAAAAGCTGTCTCCCGATGTTGCCAGCCCAGCGCAAGAGGGTTCCTCGCATATGGCCGATGATTCGCAACAGGCTCAGGGCAAGGAGTCAGGGCAAGCAAATAAGCAACAATGGGCGACAACCAGTGCGAAGAGTAAAGCCAAGGCTAAGAGGAAGAGAGACAGATATGCGAAGAGGAGAAGAGAGGTTAGGCTGCAGAAAGGCCTGCCGAGACGAAGGAGTGGTCGCAATGGTCCAGGCAGTGATTACAGTGACGACGAGAGTGATGAGTGGGATCCATGGCACCAGGCTAACGGGCCGGATGCGCAAAAGGACGACACTCTGGACCTAGACTATTGAACCAGACAACTCTTGCAGTTATCGTTGCTCGTCTTGGCTTATTCTCCATCGCGGCTATCCGTTTTCAACAGCATTGCTCCGATGCTCCAACGCAAACAAGCGTATAGTCCACACACTTAAGTTCATTTGTGAGTGTCCCCTTTTCCTTCACCCCATGTGCAATGATGAAACTTCGTTATCGTCATCCTTAGGCGGAGATGGTGCCGGGCTTGAGACAAGAATGAAAGACTGCTTGCAGCCTGAATTCTCAACTCGTCTGGCACCGTCAATGGCGAGTTTACAATCTTCTCTCTGAGCACTCCTTCATCACCTCCACTGCTGAGTATGCCATACGCAATAATGTACTGACATGAAGACTAGATCCTGACTTCCATCCAGTAACATTGATTCGAGTTGCGGGCATAGATGAAATTGCGGTTGCAGCGAAGGCGTGAGCTTCTGCTTTGATAGTTCCATGTAGCATAGACGTTGGTGACTACCTTCTATTACCTTGACGTCCAAATGGCATGTGATCGAGTAGTGATTAGTTAGTGCCCTGTGACCAAGCGATACGCTCTCTTTTTCACACTCACTATCACTCTGTTTGCTCTCCGCTCAACCCACAGGACTGCACTAGTGGGACCTGATTTCCTGCGGGGGTTTTGTCGTGCCTTCCCACACTGCAACAATCTCACTTAACTCTTCTACCTTGTACCTTCTACTTATATCTCGAACACAGCCTTCCTCATCAACCAGTCGCTCTCAACATCACTATGGTACTCATAAAGACTGCTGCTGACGACAAGGCTCCGAAAGCGAAGGAGACTCCCACTGACAAGCAGAGCAAAGACAAGGTTGTGAAGAGGCCTGCGCGCGGATACCACACCTTCAGGAATGGCATGCTCAATGTTACACCCAAGGGCAGAGAGAAGGATATGTAAGTACATTATGACTGGACTTTAGAGGAGGGAACTGATATCCGTCAGTGTTGAAGCCAACCGGCAGTCGCATTTACTTCGTCTCCCGGCTGAGGTAAGGAACTACTCGCCATCTAGATATGCAATGGATACTTACTATATAGGTCCGTAACATGATATGGGAGTTTGCGCTCGGTGGAAGAGTGTACGAGGCAGAATTTATTGGAGGCTACTATTATCGCATGCATTCACAAGAGGCTCCTAGCAAGGTTCCTCTTTTACGAGTATGCCGTCAGATCTACGCAGAGGCAGCTAACATCCCTATACAACAAACCACATTCTCTATTCCTCGACCGGATCGAATAAGGCGTTGTTTCGACCCCTTCAAGACTTGCCAGCGTCGCCATATCGCTTCCCTCCGATTCGAGATTTCTTCATACCGGCTGGCATACCTATGGACCGATATCCCCCGGCTTTTTCGCACACTAAGATTGCCAAAGTATCTACCTGGTGTGAAGAAAGTGGTATTCTGCCTCCTTTTTGAGTCAAACATCAACACAATTATCAGGCAACTCGAGGAAGATGGATTGCGCCGCAGAGTAGAAGCCGTCTCCTATGGGATGGGCCTAGACATCGAAATTGAGCAGAAATTAGTTGAATAGTACCGACGACATCTCGGCGATTGGTAAGTCCTAGCCATGATGCATCAATACAGATAGAGATTGACATAGGAATCTGATTAGGGTCGGCATTTCCTATACTTACGGAATCGAATAGCATCTCGTATGAGCAGCCTCATGATACTGCTGCGATAAACGGTATCATGTATCTGGTGGGCGAGATCTGGTGCGACACACATCCACTGGACTTAAAGGTGCTGGCTTCTTCAAATTCATGCAACCGAATTTGATTATGCAATGGCGACTCTGATGTCCTCTTTTTCAGCAGAAAATTGCAATATTGCAAATGTACTGCTTTACATGGTTTCTGTGGATCAAGATTATAATTTCCTAATCAATCTGCTTTTCCTTTTACTCATTGCCTAACCCAGACACTGGTCCTGAAACCCTCGGAAAAAACCAACCAAAATGCTTCCAGTCAAGCTTCAGTACTACACAAGAAGATCCATCGAGAATAATGCGCTAGATGTTCGTAGATGGGCGGGCGAGTCATTTCATTTAAGCAGTTATACACTTAGAGGGAAGAAGGATTGTGCAAAAGCTATGAGCAAGACCTGAAGTTAGGTAGGTTTATTTTGGAACCAAAGTTTGTATGTTCCGCCGAGTCTAGTTACAGAAGCCGGTCACACGGCACGTACATACGAAACCAGGCTCCTCCAATCCGTGTCTGTCCACTCCTTTCGCAGTCAAATACTGGCTATCTACCAAACTAAGCCATGGGTACCTATTCCTGAGCATAGCTCGTGATGGACTTGGCGGGAATTTCTTTGCGCAAGAAATTGAACAGTAGTTCCTGTAGCTCTTCTTTTTCTCCGTTGCTTGGGTCATCGTCGTCCCCCTGCTCAAAGTGATTGTCCCAGACAACTCGCATGCTGATTTTGGATATTCTTCTCAGCCCCTTGAGTGGCAAGATAGCGGCTGTGTATGCGGTGTATATTGAAAAGATATTTGGATCCTCACGGAAATCTGCGACCAGGGTAGAAAGCGTACTTGCAACAATCCGAATTTCGAGCAGATAGTCAAAGACGTCGAGACCTACATCGAGTTTTTTGATAGATGGTAGCATGAGCGACAATAAGGCTATGCCATGTGGGATGTCTTCGACAAGTGCCAGGCAGACCTTAGTTTTCTTTCGTGATCCCTCCCCATCGATACGTCGGAGATAGTCAGAGTAATCTGCGAGTTTAGGCAGTCGTAACGGCAGCATCATGCCCCACTTTACGGGAAATTCTTGTCGGTGAATAAGACTTGTTACTCGTAGTTTTCGCAAGTAGACATGCTTGATGCGCTTTCGAATGTCAAATGGAACTTGTTTATAGAAGGCCGAAAGAAGCGAGTTGTGCGGCTCCTCGTGGCTGATGAAGACCCATCGAAACCACGGGGTAGTAAGATACTCTGTTGCATCTTTGTAGACATCTGCTGGATAACACTGCGCTAGTGCTGCCAGAAGATCTAGAGCTGGTGATTTGAGCGACTGCTTGTTGTCACGCGCAAGGTCGACCTCGATGTCTGTGATGGCGCCATCGCCGCCGTTGTTGCTTACTGCCCACTTGAAGACCATGTGCTTGATTTCCAAGGGCATCCGCCGAGCGAAGTTATCCTCGAAGGTACCATCTTTCGTTGCCATCTTGAACAATGGATCCGTAGTCGGGACCGAGGGGAGGCGTCTTGTTCAGCTGACGTCTTCAGATGTGGTGTTAGATATTAGAAGCGTAGACAGAGATATCGGTCGAGAGTAAAGTATTTGATCCTGCACGTCTGTAAAGGAAGTAGAAAGTAAAAGAGAGATTTTGTAGTCAAGATGCAGTACATGCACATCAAACGACCTTTACCATGAACATGGCATAGGCGAGAGATAGTCTGGGGCATTGTTCTGGTATTTGTGGGTATCTCAGACTGGTCGCGTGCCATCTGAGAGTCGTATGGGTTTACCCGTCGCCGTAAATCCATTTCAGTCATATTTTATAGCTGATACATAATGCAAATGAAGTGATGAAGGCGAGGTCTTCAATGAGAAAACCAGCTGCTGCAAAAATTGAGTGTGGAGTGAGAAACCTCACCACATACAAGTAAGAGAAGGTGCAAGTCACATGCGAACCATGACGTACCCCACCCCCACGTTTTCCAGAGTGGGGGAAAGAATCCTTCTTGCACTTGCAACATCTCGGCCGCACAGCGAACATCGGCAAGACTGCCGGGTGTTTTCTTCCTCCACCGGAATCTAGAAGCTGTAGGCTAGGCCTCCCATGCAATGCGCCAATGAGTCACTTATAAAGATGGAGACTGTTGCGACTACTACGCTTAAATCCGGGACGGGTTTAACGTCCCCACTAACGATGCAGGCAATCACATGTCTTTTGTAGGTTGCCATTCTGCTCATCCTCTTCTTCTTTTTTCTTCTCTATCTTCTCTTGATTCACCATTTCGTGGCTGTTGGAACTGCATATTCCATCATCCACGAGTGAGTTGATTCGGGGCTTTCTACTCCGGCACCATCCGTCGTACATCGCCACCATGGCTCCCGTTTTCGTATCACGAATTGGCAGTTTCCTCGGTATCCAATCACTCAATGCAACGGGAAGGGATGCCTATATTATCATTACACTGCGCTCCTTGCGCATGTTCACTGCTGGTATTCCTAGTCTTGTCCTGGCCCTGTTCTTCGCCTCGCTCGATTTCCCTGATTCAAGAATCGGTGCTTTCATGACCTTGACGTTACTCGGAGATGTCATGCTCTCCTTGCTACTTACCTTGGTGGCGGATAAGCTAGGAAGAAGAAAGATCTTGTTCATGGGCAGCGTGATGATGGCTTGCTCAGGTGTTACGTTCGCTCTCTCTGAGAACTTCTGGATACTCTTGATCGCGGCAGTCTTTGGCATTATCTCCGTTACTGGAGCCGACTGTGGGCCTTTCAGGGCGGTCGAGGAGAGTATACTGAGTGGATTGACAGACGAGAAGACAAGAAGTGACGTTTTGTCATGGTACGTGACGGCGACCACAATGGCTGGTGCTATAGGAGCCGAGGTTGCAGGGCGAATGGTGAACGCTTTTGAGAAGAGCAGCGGTAACGCCACCAAAGCATATCATGCTTTGTTCTGGGGATACGCAGCCTTTGGTGCGCTTGGCAGTATATTGTGCCTAGGATTGAGCAGCAGATGCGAGGCTGCTGGCGAGAAACTCGCCGAAATGAAAGAGCGGAGGAGAGTCAGCGGTGACGGAGAAGAGGGAGAAATGCTTCTGGAACCGATGACGCCAAGTACAACGGACGGATTCGAGCAGAACGGCGAACCGTCGAGGAGACAGGAAAACCTCCGAGTTACACAATCGCCTAAGAAGAAGAGTTATTTCAGTCAAATTTCCAAAACCACGCGATCCATCTTGTACAAGCTCTGGATCCTCCTTGCAGTTGACAGCTTATCGGATGGAATGACACCTTATTCGCTCATGAACTACTACGTCGACCGTAAGTTTAACGTCTCCAAAGCTACACTTGGAGATATAACATCGGCCTCGCAATTTCTTTGCGCAGTCGGAGCCGTTTTCGCTGGACCATTGGCCAAACGCATCGGACTTATCAACACCATGGTTTTCACGCATCTCCCTTCATCGCTATCTATCGTTTTCATCCCGGTGCCAACAAAGCCTGCGTGGACAATCGGGCTGATGGTTTTCCGCGCCGCTCTCAATAGTATGGATCAAGCACCGCGTACAGCTTTCATTGCTGCAGTCGTCAAACCCGAGGAGCGCACAGGCGCCATGGGTATCACAAGTATGGTGCGCACCCTGGCTATGAGCGTGGGTCCGTCAATCACCGGTCTCCTCGCTGGCAGTGACAACTTCTGGGTGGCTTTCTTGGCATCAGGTACGTGTAGAATAATCTACGACATTGGACTGTGGATCTTGTTTGTGAATGTCAAAGTTGAGCAAGGCGCTGGGAGGGAAGACGAGGCGGACAGTGTGCAAGATGAAGCTTGGGATGGCTTGCTCAGCGACACGGAAAGTGATGTCAGCAGCGAGGGAAGAAAGAGTAAAGACATTGAGAGCGAAAGCAGTGTTTAGATTGTAGAGCCAACAAAAGGCGTCGATAGACTTACTCCGAGGAAATTATCAAACAATAACAAATCTCTATCAAACTAGCACTGCGCCTTCTCAGCCCGCAACAAGATCTCGTTACGATCGTCTGCCTGCAACTGCACCTTCACAGCCTTTGCCTGTTTCTTCTTCGCGTTCAAACTTTCCTTACCACTAAACCTCTCTTTTGTCTGGCGGTCTAATCCATGGAACAGCGACACCAGCGCACTCGTCTTCCAAGCCTGCGTATCAGACGTATGTGTGAGGGTCATGGAAGTTATCAAGAAGACAAGCGTAGCCAGAACAGCAGTAATGGGCAGCACCGCGAAGCCCCATCGAACATGCACATATGACTCGACAGTCATTGACTTCCCGGCCGTCGGCACTGCACCCATGAAGCTGCGGAATGCCGTGGTCATGGATATGGCCAGATCGCTCATGAGCATGTCGAGTCCATTAGCGTACTCATAGTAGTTCCAGTAAAACGCAGTCAAGATATCCGTGTCGAAAAACGTCTCTCCCGACGCGATACCGACTGTGAGATTAACGACAACAGCACGATCAGGATCGGTGATGCTGCGGGTGAAGTCGCTGGTGGTCCGGGTCGCAGAGCCGTTTGTGAAGATTGCGCCGAACCAGCCGCGGATACTCAACAGGGCACCCATGCCAACGAGGTACGCAGGCTCTTCGGGGTCCCCTTGGATGTAAACACCGTAGTCGGCCTCTGGGTCTGGAGAGCTCATGTCGAGGACTGTGTTGTTCATTACGGAGTGCGTGATGTTTTCTTGATGCGTACCGTTTATTACTGATGCTGATATCGTGTTGACGCAGGCTTGCAGCGTGCACTGTGTGGCCCATGGGTTGAGGACTCGGGGGGTGTCCTGGTGCTCTGTCCCCATGAAGATGAGCTTGATCAAGGTGGAGTGAGGCATGTCGCCGTACGCGGATGGGATGAACGAAGTCATGCTGAACACGTCGGAGCTGGTGTTGAGCAGCGCTCCTTGAGGTACTTGCCAGCCACATGAGGATACGTTGGTCGAGTCGGTCATCTCTGGTGGACAGTATCGCGTCATGAGGGGGGTGATATCGCTACATTCGTGGCAAACAGCAAGTGACTCAAAAGGCTCCCATGCGCAGTTACCACTTGAGCATTGAAACTTTAGAGATGCTGCAGGCTGGTTGTTTTCTGCAAACAGGCCGTTATAGACTGCGGCTTTCAGAGGAAGTATTGGTACAAAACCAGCTGTGAAATGTTAGTAGACTGGCTGACAATGTTTTCTGGGGACACTTACTACTGCTGTTACCCGGCAATGCACCTGTGTAATTGACGGCTCTAGGGATGATGGCGCCGAGGTCGCTTTCGACGGTTCGCATCTTGTACGTCGCTATTTGCTGTGCGAACGGTCCGAGGGCCAGACCAACGATAGCAACAATTGCTCCGAAAGACCCAAGCAATCTGAGAAACAAGAATGTCAATCATAAGAAGCTAACGTTTGAAGCAGATCAACGTACCCTCCTCTACCCGTTACGAGTAACTTAAGAGATCCCCAGGAACCACGACTGGCTTCGTCGAAAACCTCAATGTCGGACAGCGGAGTTGGCTTTTGCTTGAAGCGAATCCATTTTGCCTGTGAGATTCCACTCGAAAGGCAAACGGACATTGTAGCGTTGGCACATGTAGCCATCAAAGCGATGAGCGCGTTCAAAGTAATGTCGTGAGGCCAGTCCGGTAAAGCACGCCCGTTGTACTTGGAAACGACTCCGATGATGGCACCAACAGCTCCAAGAGCGACGAGAATAGCCATCATCTCAAATTTCCAGGTACGAGCATGAGAAGACCTAGGCTTGCCCCCAGACCTCTGGCTGGATGTTTCCGAGGTGACGGCGGTGGCATCTGTAGAGGTACTCCAGTGCGCTACATGTTTAGTATTCCGTGTTCCCACGGTAGATACTAGGCTGGCATGATCGTATTCAAAGTTGCGATCGTCTTGCCCATACCGCTCTTGAGTTGGCGAGGGTGAGTTGCAGCCCTCATTTACTGGCTCAACATCAACGTTAGGCTGACTCTTGGGCAGATGTTGGTACGCCATTGCGAATTTGAGATGGAGAAGATTTTTCCCTATGCAGAGGCTCAAGTGAGGAGCTCAGAAGGGGGAATGGCTCAATATCGATATTGATATGGGAGCTGGATTTCCGCCTTCTGTTCAGCTGTCTTCCATGCCTTGGCTTCCAAGCACGATAAGCTACAGAAACCTACTCCAAGGTGTGGTAAGCTCATTCCGCGGACCTTAGATTAGGGTATGCCCGTCCCGCATTGCATTAGGGCAGATGGGGGCTGAAAATATATCAACTCTAATTCGGTGCCTACTCTATAGGAATCGCCTACCACACGGAGAAACCTGAAAATGTGTCTTCGTTGCCTAATAGAATCACACATTGTATGGGTAGATGCGGTGGCACTGCATAATCAACAAGGTACAAGGCTGAACACGCGCATCGGCAGAGTTACTGAGAAGTGAGCGGATGCAGAAGCTCGCCAGGCTATGTGAAGTCTTGGTATATGCATGGAACAAAATGTCTGAGTGCTACTGGGCGCCACAGTGTTAGTCAAAGATATTCAATGCATTTGAACAGAGTGAATGCTTCAGCCCCGCACTTTCAGCCCCCATTATCGGCTATTACAGCTTGAACTGGCCACGTAGTTATCTTGCGTTAGATAAGCCGGTGGACGCGATAGATAGCAACTTGCGTGAGCTGAGGTTGGTGGGGCATATCTATTGGTCTGGGCTTTTTGGTGGCGTTGGGCTGTACTGTAGCATGAGACTGAAAAACGTGAGTATGGGTCCATCAAGCGACGAAGACTGGTTCTAGACCCTTACTTACATATTAAATATTCACATGGTTTTGTAATGGGTAATGAAATAGACGGTTCATCTGCCTTACGATGTTGATCGTGAATGTCATAGGTCTCATCTCGTCAGGAAATCGAGAATAGTAGAGAAATATTTGATTGAAGCTAAGAGCGGGACGGCCCATACACTGTCTGCCCTAGAACTATTCCGGTAATCGATACTTTGGCGAGGCCCATCTTGATCATGTGCTCAGAGCCTTCTGGCCAATCGGTTACTCAATTTCAAATTCGAAGGTAATTACACTGTTACACGTCTTCTCTATTGGAACAAATACCCTACAACATTACGGCTTGAAACAGGATCATGCCACAATGCGAACATACTGACAAAGGAAATGATGTGAAGTAAAGTGAACGTCTTGACAAAGAAAACAATGTAAAGAAATGTGAACATACAGAAAAATGAAACAAAAGCCAAATCTAGAACAGTCTATCTCTAGCCAATCCGGGCTGCATACCTTCTAATCGTAATTCAGCGAGTCTGTGTTCAGCTCTTCCTGACGGCGCCTGTAGCGAAGCTTGTTTGAGGGGTCAAAGCCTACATTCTCCGCAAACATATTGTATGGCTCGAGGGAAGCTCCGGGTGCTAGCTGCCAGTCGTACTTGAGCAAGAGATGACAAAGAGCAATCTTTACCTCGTTGGCAGCAAAGAAACGGCCCGGGCATGAATGGTAACCAAGGCCAAAGGACAAATTATCGGGGGTAGTAGAAACTAGATGAGCCTTCATAGCTTTCTGAGGATCTTCTCGCATGCGGTAGTATCGATACGCGTCAAACTTGAGCGGATCCGGGTAAACGTCGGCGTCAACCAAGGCCATCATATCTACGGAGATGTATTGACCCCTTTGGATGACAAATCCATTTGGTAGAACAACCTTCTCTTTCGCTACTCTTCTCATGGCAACTATTGAATGTGGGTATCAGCAGCTGTAATTATAGTTTCCTGCTTAATGTAACGAGGAATACTCACAAGCTGAAGTGGGGGTTATCCTTTGTGTCTCCTTTATCGCACTGTCCATGAGCTTCAGGTTTGCGAGCGCAATCTTTTTTAGGCCGTCAACGCTAAGGACTTGCACAATCTCTTGTCGTAAATCGTTAACCAGATTAGGGTCGTTAGCCAAGTGTGTCAATGTCCGGTTTAACAAATCTGAGGTAGTGTGGATGGCCGCGAATGAAAGAGCCATCTGGTATAGAGCAGCATCTAGTGGCGCCCCATCACTCTCTTGCTGAAGCCACTCAAGGGTATCTTCGTATTTTGGGGCTGGCTCGCCTTTCTTCTTTGCTTCAGCCTTTCGTCGCTGCCGTTCTGCAAGAATTGGGTTGAGGAAATTGCGGACTTCGTTCAGCTTGTTTTTAGCAATCTTAGGCTTCTGGCTAAAGAAAGGAACCAGGGGCTGAAGCAGTGAGGGAAAGGTGCTAACTATGATACCTGCCGCCAAAGATTCGAGTGTGTATTCCTTGGTAATTCGCAGCCAGTCTTCATTGCGACATAGTTCGTCCCCGAGGAAGACTTTGGTTGATAAGCGAGCGACTAAGGCTAAGATGCTTTCTGCAGTGGTAACTTCCTTCCATTCTAAAATCATGTTAACTACTACATTCTTAGTATGTCCACGGAATACCGTACCTGGGTCGTTGCCATATATACAGAGGGGTGACATGAAAAAAGAGTGTTCCTAAAAGTTCTAGTTTTTAAACTAGTATAACTAGCTGAATATTAAATCTATTTCTAATTAGGCTAGCTCATTTTAAAGGCAAGAGGTAGTAGTT